TGTGAAAACCCAGCTAAAGTCATTTTTTTGTGATTTACTGTTTTCTACATAAAATCATCCTTCATAAAGATGTAGAACATTCTGTGAAAATATAACCTTTATATATTTAATATTGACTGAGTAAGGCCACGTCAAAGATTGAAATCATAGTTAAATTAATTGTTGAAATCAAACTTTGATGCTTGTTACTCATAATTAGATTTTGAGACTTTAGCCTGGATTTCACAGACAGAGTCACATTTATTTTCAAAGGAGCAAATTTTGTATTTTTGAAGTCGTGCAAATACGTTTGATATTCAGAACAAATTCAAGCAGCATAGTAAAGGTTAAGCATATATATATATATATATATATATATATATATATATATATATATACACTATAAAAACTATATAAAGTATAAATCTAAAAGGAATAAATATATATATATATATATATATATATATATATATATATATACACTGTAAAAATGTTTTCATTCATCCAATTTATGGATAAGGGTAATGATTCACATCTATATTTTATTACTTGAGCCAATGAAAAATAAATAACTTGCCCTAAACAATATTTTCTATGTCTATGAAAACTATTTATAAAACCTGGCAAGAAAGTATATTTCTTGTTGAAGAAAGTCAATTAATTAAAATTATATTTTTGATCCAAACAAAAAAAATATAGATTTAATCAAAACAAAGATTCTCATTTAAGAATATTAGAAATAATTTGTTTTGTGATGACTGGTCGAGCTTTGTGTTTATTACGCACTCTAAACCCCGACAAGTTGAATTTACTTAAAAATAAAAAAACTTGAGGAAACTGGTTGCCCTAAAAAAAAATTAAGTAATCTGAACTTCAAGGTTCAGTTCATTTAACTTAAAATATAAATTAATTTGCAGTTATTACACCTATATTTAAGTTCCATGTGCTAATTTCCAAGTTAAATCTATATCAGTTGTTTTATTTTTCCAATTTGTTAAACTAGAAAATTAAGTAAAAAAGCAAACAAATAAAAGAACATTCATGTAATTTTCGGTTTTAGCTTAATTCAATTCCAAATGTTAATTTAAAAGCACAACAAAACATGATTTTTTCATCTGAAAACATTTCCCCATAAAACATGAAAAAACTAGTTTAACAAACTAACATAAAACAGTATCAGTATCAGATTCAGTATCTCAGAATCACAACAAACGGCATCAAAACAATATGGTTTTATTCCACTCTGAGTTCACAATATTGGCAGTACTGAATTTTAGGTGCTAACTCACCTTTTCCGAGGTTGAGCATTACCTGCTGAATAAAATATAAAGTGCTTTTCATACACTTAGTCTAGGTGCAGAGCATAAATCAGTCTGAAAAAATGGACATAGAAGGCCTGAGATCGGTCGGTTCATCATTACAAAGTTTTCTTCCAAGATGATTCCCACTCTAGATGGGTTTAGTTGTGGACTTGATTGATCAACACTGAGGAGTCTTACTGGAGTCTGTCTTGTCAGCTGCATCCTAACAGAGGAAGAAACAGATCGACAAAAACATTATCAAGTCAGTTAGATAATGCTGTTGTCAAATACTCAAGATCATATGCTGCGTTCACACCATGTTCTACTTAGAGCTGTTCATGTCCTTGGACCGGGAACTGTGCGTTTCTATGGCAACACTATC